GAGGGAGAGGGTGGAGGGAGGAGGTGGTGGCGGAGGAGGGAGAGGGTGGAGGGAGGAGGTGGTGGCGGAGGAGGGAGAGGGTGGGAAGCTTGCAGCTGGGCTGCGGCACAAACACGTAAACTTCTCGCTCCGCCGGCCGCCATGTTTTATTCAGATTTATTAGATTTAGATTATTTATAGATTTCTATCGGCATGATTCCGGGAATGGGCGGACAGAGAGCGAGAGAGACAGAGAGAGAGAGACAGAGAGAGAGACAGAGAGGCAAAATGTATGCGAGGAAAGTTTGCGGGAATTTTTTCGCATGCGCAGAGACTGTCAGGGAGAGGGGGGGGTGACGAGAGTGGAATTATGCATCTGTGGGGGGTGGGAGCGGATTGGGGATTGCAGCGGGGATTATGTGTACGTGATAGCGGGATCGAGTCGTAATGGGTTGCGAGGAGCGCTCCCGTCTGCCTTGCCACGTCCAGCCTAGGGCTAATCGCATGATGTAGCCTAGCATGTATATAATATATGCATGTGATATATCCGTACTAGCGCCGTTCAACGCAACTCAAAAACCCAATAACCCGCCAAATGTATTTCAGATGTAACCGCTGCAGAACTATCCGCACCTCTTATTTCGTAACAAACAGCGTTCTTTTGTTTCTAAAAAAAACATGTGAACATCTTCGCCCCTCCGCCATTTCCATCGCACCGTTAATGTCAAGCTTATTAGAGAAACGAGAGGGAAACCAATCCGTGTTTCCCATGTAAGAAATATCCCATTTCCCAGTTCTCAGCTAATTAAAATCGTTGTTACTGCACCCCGGTCAACTTCTGTCCCTGAATCACACACAAAAAATCTATCTGGTATCTCTCGGTGACCAGATAATTAAAATAGCGCAGTCCTGTGTCCCAAAAAACACCTCCCCCCTCCCACCTCTCATCATACCAAGCTCGTTACTTTTAAGGTCATCGTCTTCACGTTCTTTTGTTTTCTCGCCTTGCAGAAAGCAACTTTAAGGTCAACGCACCTTCACGTTCTCTTGTTTTCTCGCCTTGCAGAAACCAACTGCGCCGAGGAGACCGAACAACAAGATGGCGGCGTCGGCGAGCGTCTCCAGCAACAGGAGGAGGTGCGCGATGCGAAGAGCATGCTCAAGCAGGCGCTCATGGAGGAGGGCCAGCAGCAGGCGGGAGGAGGCGTGTCGAGCACGACAGAGAAGGTGCGCGTCTGCCCCTGCTGCACCTACAGCTGCGGCAACGAGATGCGCATGCAGGCACACGTGCTCGCGCAGCACACGCAGACGACCCCGCAGGTACGTGCGCCTGCACCTCTCACTATCTCCCACACCCACCAACTTACACCCAGCCCACCGGCGCAGGTACGTGCGCCTGCACCTCCCCCTATCCCCCACACCCACCAACTTACACCCACCCCACCCCCGCAGGTATGTGCGCCTGAACCTCCCCCTATCTCCAACACCCACCAACTTACACCCAGCCCACCGGCGCAGGTACGTGCGCCTGCCCCTTCCCCTATCTCCCGCACCCACCAACTTACACCCATCCCACCCCCGCAGGTACGTGCGCCTGCACCTCCCACTATCTCCCACACCCACCAACATACACCCACCCCACCTCATGAGGTACGTGCGCCTGCACTTGCCCCCTCCCCCCGCCGCGCGCGCCACCCACCCTCCATCTAAAGTGGCAAAATATGTAGTATTATGTAAAATATTGTGTAAATATCCCTAAAAGATTTCTATGCACGCTATGGGGGGGGGGCTGCTATGTTCCTTGATTGCATGATCCAGCCGCCATCTTGTGTTCGGCAAAGGGTTCGCTCAGTATGAAGGGAACTAATGTTTGGGTTGTCACGGACGCTACTAAGAAAATCATATTCCTATTTCCTCCGTTGTTCTTTTACCGTTGCTCTTCCTCCGTCCCTTCCTCCGTTGTTCTTGCTCGGTTCCTTCCTCCGTTGTTCTTTTACCGTTGCTTCCTTCCGTTGTTCTTCCTCGGTTCCTTCCTCCGTTGTTCTTCCTCCGTTCCTTTCTTCCGTTGTTCTTCCTCCGTTCCTTCTTCCGTTCCTTCTTCCATTGTTCTTCCTTCGTGTCTTCCTCCGTTGTTCTTCCATCGTGTCTTCCTCCGTTGTTCTTCCTTCCTCTACGCCGCAGTTGTTTGTCTTTCCCCTCCCAGCCTGTGCGCCCTGGCCTCCATTTTATGTCCACCAGAATGTCTTCCCTGTGTGACGCACCCAAATAAAGCTCCAATGTAACATGATACAGTCTTGAATGTAACGTAGATTTTTCACCATAGGTGGCGCACACGAACGAGGTTCCATGTCGATCGTAATGCCAATTTCTCACCGTAGGTGGCGCACACGAACGAGGTTCCATGTCCGCTGTGCCAGGAGAAGTTTGGCGACCGCGCGCAACTCGAATCGCATCTCATCTCGACCCACAACGTCAGCGCTGAGGGAATCAAACGCCTGCTCCCCCTGGTGGAGCACCCGCCCGATTGGCCCCCGGCGACGACGACGACAGCGAGCGGTGGCGCCCCCTCGAGCCACGTGACGACGTCCGCCGGCGCCCCCGCGCAGAAGGTGGCGCCACCGCGCGACGACGACGATGAGGTCGCCGCGGAAACCGGCGAACACCAATGCCACGTCTGCGCAAAGACGTTCGTGGGCCTCGACAACCTTGTCCACCACCAGATGGAGCTGAGTCACCTCAAGGTGCACCAGACGCCGCGCGGGCCCGGGTACCTCTGCTGGAAGAAGGGCTGCAATCAGTACGTCGGCTCTCCGCAGGCTCTCCAGGTGCACTACCGAGAGATCCACGCTAAGCGCGCGCAGCTGGCGGTGTCCGAGCGGCACGTGTACAAGTACCGCTGCAGTCAGTGCTCGCTGGCGTTCAAGACGATCGACAAACTGCAGCTGCACACGCAGTACCACATGATCCGCGCCGCGACAAAGTGCAGCATCTGCGACCGCAGCTTCCGCTCGGTCGCCGCGCTGCAGCGCCACCTGGAGACGGCGCACCCGGACGTCCCGGAGATGGAGCTCGATCAGTACAAGACGTGCCTTGCCGCGTCGCTGCTCGCGCACACCGGGGGCGCCACCGGCACCGGCGACAACATCAAGCGCGAGATCGAAGAGGGCGAGATCGTCGACGCGGCCGACGACGACGCCGCGGTGGCGCACCCTGGCGGCGACGATGCGGATGACGTCAGCCGCGAGCGCCAGTTCCTCGACGACTACCTCAACAGCCAGACGATGGCGGAAGAGAACTACGGCGACCCGAACCGCAAGTACAAGTGCCATCGCTGCAAGGTCGCCTACACGAAGCAGAGCTACATGCTCGGACACAACAAGACGCTGCTGCACCGGAAAGGCGACCGCTTCAGCTCGCCGATGGAGAAGTACATGGACCCGAATCGGCCGTACAAGTGCGACGTCTGCAAGGAGTCGTTCACGCAGAAGAGCATCCTGCTCGTGCACTACAACTCCGTCTCGCACCTGCACAAGCTGAAGAAGACGGCGGCGGAGACGAAAGCCGGCGCGGGCAGCCCCGACGCCGAGCGCAAGCCCTTCCGCTGCAACATCTGCAAGGTGTCGTACAGCCAGGGTTCGACGCTCGACATCCACATCCGCTCCGTGCTGCACCAGACGCGCGCGTCGAAGCTCCAAGAGCTGGCGCTCACGGGCCAGGTCGATCTCAGCCAGCCGCTCATCGAGCAGCCGGACTTCCTGAAGCCCGGCAAGGAGCAGGAGCAGCAGCACAAGAAGATGCTCGAGGAGATGCTCGCAGCTTCCGGTGCGCAGACGAAGCTCGAGCTGTCGCCGCCGGCAATCGCCGCCGCCTCGCAGCCGTTGCCCGTGGCGACCGTGTCGGCGGCGACGTCGCCGATGTCGTCGTTCATGAGTTCGCTGATGGGCACGGCGGCCGCCGCCGCCGCCGGTTCGCTCGCCTTCCCGCTACAGGGCGCCACCGTCGGCCAGCATCCGTTGCTCTTCTCCCCGCAGCCGCTCTTCACCTGCGCCAACTGCAGCTCGGTGTTCATGTCGAAGGATGCTCTGCTGCAGCACCAGAAGCTCTTCTGCTTCTTCTCCCAGCAGCAGCAGCAGCAGCAGCAGCAAGCTTCGGCGAGCACCCCCCAGGTGTCGCCGGCGAGCGCGCAGGGGTATGCGCTGACCGAAGCCGAGTCGTCGTCGACGGCAACGGCGGCGGACGAGGAACAGATGCTGCGGCCGCCGCTGTTCATGCGCCGATCGAAGTCCGCGCTTCACAAGCAGCTTCTCGAGGGATTCGGCTTCGAGGTGGTGATGCAATACAACGAGTATTACCGCCGGCGCAAGCGCCGTCGCCACGACGACGACGACAACGACAACGACGACCGCGACGACAGGAAGGCCGAAAAGCCAGAGGGCGCCACCGTCGCCCCCGCCGACAAGCCGGCCGGCGACGCCGAGAAACCCGAAACGGAAGAGGGCGCCACCGTGGAGCCGAGCGCCGAGGAGAAGCCGGCAGAGGGCGCCACCGCCGCCGCCGCCGACGAGAAAAAGAGCGACGAAAAAGAGCCGGCGGCGGCTGCGGCGGCGACGGAGGCGCGCGCGGCGAACGCGCCGGAGATAAACAAGTGCACGTGCGCGAAGTGCGGCCGCGCCTTCTCGAGCATCTGGGTGCTGAAGGCCCACGAGGAGGAGCGGCACCGCGACCTCGTCCCCATGCAGGCGGTCGAAGACTTCGCCGCGAGCTTCAAGGTCAAGTTCGAGATGAAGCTCCGGCAGCAGCAGCAGGCGGTTCTCGCCGAGGAGGCGCACGAAGCCGCCATGACGGCCGTCGCCACGGCAACCCAGGACATGGCGGCGGCGGCGGCGACGTCGACGGCGTCGTCGTCGCTCGCGTTCTCGCAGTCGCAGCAGCTGCTGCAGGGGCTGGAGGCGTCCTACTTCACGCCGCAGATGCTCAACTTCGGCCTCAACTTCGGGTTCCCGATGAACATGAACATGTCGATGCTCGCCGCGATGAACCTCCACCCGCCGCTCATCCCCATCATGATGCCGCCGTACGCCGACCAGATCCACGCGCCGCCGACGCAGCCGCCCGCCGGCGCCCTCTCGCAAGACATGCAGGGGGCGCTCGCGCAGCAGGGCGCGCACAAGCGCGGTCGCACGCGCATCAACGACGAGCAGCTGAAGGTGCTGCGCGCGCACTTCGACATCAACAATTCACCGAACGAGGAGCAGATCGTCGGCATGAGCGAGAAGACGGCGCTGCCGCCGAAGGTCATCAAGCACTGGTTCCGCAACACGCTCTTCAAGGAGCGGCAGCGCAACAAGGACTCGCCGTACAACTTCAACAATCCGCCGTCGACGACGCTCGACGTCGCAGAGTACGAGAAGACCGGCGAGATGCCGGGACGCGAGGAGCGCTGCGACGCAGACGCCGCCGCGGTCGCCGCGGCAACGTCGCAGGATGCTGCCGAGCCGCCACAGCCGCCGCAGCCTCCTGCTCCTGCTGCTGCCGCAGAGGAAGCCCCGCAGGAGGAGTACCACCGTCGTCATGACGACAAGCAGCAGACAGAGAAGGAGGATGTCTATTATCATCAACATCAGCAGCAGCAGCAGCAGCAGCAGGAGCAGCAGCAGCAGCAACAGCAGCAGCAGCAGCAGTTTGCCGAGGTGCCGGATAGCTTCCAACAGCTGCAGAGTCTGCAGAAACAGATGGAAGAGCTACATGAACGACAGCACCAGCAGCAGCATCAACAACAACAGCAACAGCAACAGCAACAGCAACAGCAACAGCAGCAACAACAACAACAACAACAACAGCAGCACGGCGAATTCGCGCCGTTCCTTCAGGCGGCCGCCGAAAAACGCCACTTCAAGGTCGAGGCGGAGGAGCCGGTGGCGCCCCCACCGCCGCCGCCGCCGCCGCTGCTGCCGCCGCGTCCGTCGTTCTCCTCTCTGCTGTCGTCGGTGTCGGCGACCAGCGCGGCCGTGTCGGCGCTGACGCCGCTCACGTCGGCGTCAGCGTTCCCCATGCCCCCGCTCTACTCTCAGGCCAGCTTTGACAGCACTACCTCATCCTTCAACACGATTCCCACGTCGTCGACGCCCCCGGCCGCCGCCGCCGGCGGCGGCATGCAGTCGTTGCTACCTCTCAATCACCACTCGCCGCAGCTGCTGCCGCACCACGACGCGCGGCCCGACGCGACGCCACGGCGCGCCAACCGCACGCGCTTCTCCGACTATCAGGTCAAAATGCTGCAGGACTACTTCGAAAAGAACGCCTACCCGAAGGACGACGAGCTCGACCACCTCTCCAAGCTGCTGAACCTCAGTCCGCGCGTCATCGTCGTCTGGTTCCAGAACGCGCGCCAGAAGGCGCGGAAGGTCTACGAGAATCAGCCGCCGGCGGATGGAACCGCGGAGGTGCGCTACAACCGCACGCCGGGCCTCAACTACCAGTGCAAGCGCTGCAGCCTCGTCTTCCAGCGCTACTACGAGCTCATCAAACACCAGAAGACGCTCTGCTACAAGGACGACGTCGGCAGCGGCAGGTACTCGCTGCACGACTCCGCGTCCTCGATGCCGTCGCCATCCCCTTCCTGCAGCAACAGCAGTACCGGCAGCGCCCCCGGCGGCGGCGGCGGCGGCGGAAGCGGCAGCGGCGCCCCCTGCACGATAGCGACCCCGCCGCCCCCCGCCGCCGCCGCCGACCCGCCCGCTGCAAAACCGGAGCATTACCGCTGCGAGCAGTGCTCTCTCACGTTCCTGCATTTCGATCTGTGGAAGGAGCACCAGGGGGCGCACGCGCTCGAGCCGACGATGCTGTTCCAGTTCAACCCGGCGAGCGCGTTCGGACAACTTCAGATGTTCGACACGCCGCGCGGCGGCTCCCCCGTCAAACGCAAAGCCGACGACGCCGGCGACAACATCGGAGGCGGAGGCGGCGGGGATGAGGACGACGGGCACGGGAAGCGGCTTCGTACAACCATCCTTCCCGAACAACTCGATTACCTTCACCAGCAGTACCAGCTCGACGCCAACCCGAGTCGCAAGCAACTCGACGAGATCTCGCAGGAGGTGGGCCTGCGTAAGCGCGTCGTGCAGGTCTGGTTCCAGAACACGCGCGCGCGCGAGCGCAAGGGCCAGTTCCGCTCGCACCTGCAAGCGATCAACAAGCGCTGCCCGTTCTGCCGCGCGCTCTTCAAGGCCCGCAGCGCGCTCGAGTCGCACCTCGCGACGAAGCACGCCGACCAGGTCTCGCGCAACGACATCAACATCGACGCGATCCCGAACGCCGAGCCCGACGCCGACGCGCCCGCCGCCGGCGCCCTCTACAGCGCGCCGGGGACGCCGACGAGCGATATAGTCGCGTCGCCGGTCGGCTCGTTCGGCGACTTCCCGAATCCGTCGGCGTCGAACCACCTCGAGGTGGCGATGAAGAGGTTCTACGAGGACTCGCTGAGACGCTACCTCGCGCAGCTCGGCTCGCCGACCCCGCTCG